GTGCATCATCTGTTAAAGATTAATTTGTGTAAAGGGAGAGAAGCTGGATTTATATACTGAAAGGTAGGTTGGCACTGCCTTTTTCCTTACCCTCACACTTTGGTTTTCTAGAGTCAGCAGAACTCACAGCTTGGAAAGAAGCAGGCCAAGAAGAACTGATAAACAGCATGAAAGCTATCATTGTAACTCATCGTATGTCTGCACCAGGTTCCTGGGTTTGGCCTGGTGAATGAAATTCTGAGAGAGAAGAACTTTCATAAAGGTCATAAAGGAAGTCACTTAGTTCACACATAAATCTGAAGGTATACTTTTCTATTGCTCATTTCTGACACAGCTCCCTATACTTGTGAAGTCTACAGAGACAGGCCTAAAAAAACCTTCATCTGAAGAGACTATAGCTCACTCTACCCCTAACCTGTGAAAGAACATGGACAGCACTCGAAGATGGTCACCCAACCCTGGAGCATAAGAATAATTATTTAACAACACTGCCTCCTACTTTCTCATTAATCCAGTTAAGAAAAAGCTTCTGATAAACTTCAAGGAAATGGTGTTAAGAAATATGAAAAAAACTACTGTCAAGATTTATGTTTGGCTTTTGTTAATGTGTAACCAAGAGGTGTAGTCCTGACATGCACCATGCTGTCACTAGGCCTACGACCCACTTGAAAGGGAGCCATCAGGAAAATCTGAGTATCTGAAGAATTCCAGCACTATCTCTCCAGCTGCGGAACTCAAGACAACATATTAATTGATAGCAAGACAGACTGTCAGCATCAAATAAAAAGAACAGTTTCCTGAGCAACTGGCATGCAAACCAAGCACCTGCCATCTCAACACAGGGAGCTGACTATGTTGCAAGTCAGATCAAAAAGGTATGAGAGACACATTAGGCTTCAAGAGACATACCTGATGGGTTCTTCCAGAACTGGAAAGAATAACTAGTTTAGATGACAATAAAATAGGTACCCACAGTCACTTCTGATCTAACACTGATTAACACTAAATACAAACCAGACCTATTTCTTTGACATAATATTGGATTAAGTCAACCAGTTTAATGAGGGGAAGCGAATATGAAGATTTAGAGCCTAGCAAGGAAGAACTAGAGGTGACACAACACTCCTGACATTAGGAGGGTAATTTATCTTAAGCTATGTGATTAAATGGCTTTGATAGACCAGGTGCACATTTCTCTTCATTAACTGTCAACGCACTGCAAGGTGACAAGTTCAGATTTACAGATCTACCTTTGGGATATCTAAAGTAAATTGGGAGGCATCTTACCTCACATACTCACTAACTGAACCTTTTATCCTAAGGAAAAGAAAGGCAGGAGAAGCTCACATTACTCACACATTCAAGACACAGGACAATCTTCGTTACTGTCTTTGTTATTGGAGCTCCATGAACTGCTCTCTGCCCAGTTTAAGCTTAGAAAAGAACCACAGTTCTATACATCTCCTCTCAGGCTTCCCACTCAACGCATCCCATTTACTACAATCAGCATATTTTCAAATTGTAATGAAATTTCATACACAACATTCCCTAATCTTCAAGAAGCAAAGAGAGAGTGCCAAGGTGCTATCCTTGGTCAAGAATTTGGGGCATATATTTCCATATGCTGTGTTTTTGCCAAGGCTACAGCTCTCCAGATCCTCAGGGTGTGTGCATGTACTACAGCTGAGAACAGAATTATACTTAAAAATCTGAAAAACAAACAAGCTTGCAAGATTTCAAACACAGTGGGCAAGCTGTAGCTTTCTTTTATTGTTATTTTTCAATTCAATTCTCCTTGAATAATTTTATGGAACCAAAATACAGCAGGAAGGAAGAAAAAGGAATATATTTCCATATAAAATGGACAAAACTTTATGAAATTAAAGTTATAGACCTTAAAATATTCCTTGGAGGTAACAATTCCTTCACATTGTTTATTTTTGAGAAATCACTATGTGAGACAGTAAAAAGCTAATAAACGTTTTGGAGGAATGAAATCAAATACATGTTTAAAAAAAAAAAAAAAATGTGATGCTTCAAAATAATTTCTATGAGCAATTTTTTCACTTTATCCAGATCTAAATATTATTGGATTTTACTAAGGAGAAGATCTGTACTTTTTCCACACACAAAATCAATTAGCAGTAAAATTACATAGAAATATCACATTAAGACATACCATATTAGAACAGTGGGAAAACTGAGACAAACTATTCTGGTGTGTAATGGACATTATCTGTACCACGTTCAACAACACACTAGAGAGTACTTCAGAAGTTTCTAAGAAGGATGGGGTACTTGAAGAAATATAAGCTCTTCAGTACAGCAAAAAGAACTCTTATTGATAGAAATTATTTTTAAAAAGACCAGAGTGATTCTAAGAAGTTATGTTTTCATTTTTGCACTGTCCTATCACTGAAAATAATACCTAGGGTTTAAAATAAAAACACACATTCCACAGTTCTCTCGCCTTTCTCAAAATGTGTATGTTTGTAGTTGTGGACAAGAAGATAATAGACCAGTGCAACTAGGGACCACAGCAGAGGGCTGAATTAGCCTTAAAAACAGACAGTCTTCTCAGAAGTCTGGTCTAAACTACCAATTACTAGCTCTATGCCTGGTCAGTAAGGTTACTCACCTTTGCTCATGTCACAGTCACAGACAATCACATGTGTTTAATCTCCCCATCATGTACCATTATATGGGCAGGGAGAAACACACTGTGCATCAGGGACAAGACTGAATCAGCACTGCATCCACAAGGCAGAAAACGTCCAAGTCACAGCACTGCTATGGTCTGAAACAACTTCTTCTGCACCGTGCCTCGCAGCCAAGGGAGGGGAAAGCCAAGCTGCTTTTAGGCTGATGTTGGCCTTCTGAACAGTGACTTTTTGAGGAAACTGAAAGCGTCTGTGTGATTTTGATAGGCCTTGGCACGTGTGTTGGGAACCCACACCAGAGCCCCTGGCACAGCAGGGGCAGCCGTGCCACACCGCCCGTCCTACCCACAGTACAGGAATAGATTCCCGGTCTAAAAACTTCTAGAATTTCCATTCTAGAAATGGAAACAAAAAATACCCAACTCTTCTTAAAACAGTACCGTATACACAGCTAGCCAGTTAGGCCAACTTCAGCATCACTGGAGTCGCTTGTGTTTTTTTTTTAATAGGAAATATGATAGACGAATAAAGTTTAAAAAGCAGCTGGATCCAGTATCACCAGAGAACCACTTTGGAAAGCAAGTTGTTAATGCATTATTCATCCAATCTCTAAGTAGTTTTTAGGCAGACAAAACTTGGCCAGATGACACAAGGTAGGCCTCTAATCAAGACTTTGCCTTTATGCTTCATGAGCAAGACATCCTAGAGCACGGGCTGACTACTGACTCAGAAGAGAAACACTCACTTCCAAGAAGCAGCTTTAAAACAGCTTTTTTCAATATCTATATTTTCAGAGAAGTCTAGCCACATCCAACTGTGTTCAGAGCATGGAAAAAGACGAAAATGTCACACCAGTTCCGTGTAACTACACATGACTTCTCTGAGGTTTCAAAAACCAAATAAAATTGGAACAGACTTACATTACTGAACATATAGTAGCTCTCCTAATAATCTACGGATTTCAGAACACTCTGCAATAATCTAGTAGCCAGAGAGTACACAGATCATGATCCACTGAGGCCTGAAGGGATGACCTATTTCTAGTCCTCTACTGTTGTCAATGAGAATCATAGAATGGCTTAGGTTGGAAGAGACCCTAGAGATCATCTAATCCAACCTCCCTGCCATTGGCAGGGACACCTCTCAACTAGACTAGGTTAAAGATGCCACAAGGCAAGAATGAAGGACAGCAGAAAAAGTAAATTGGTACTCCTTCCCTCCCCATGATGCCTCCTTCCCTACTACATCTCTGGACTGTTAAGTAAGAGCTAATCCTACTTTATGTCATATATTCAGTCTAGCCCTGGCAGCAGGAACACAGGAACAGAGTGGTAGGGCACACAACTGTGTTTTACTGCAGTGATGCTGGAACATTACAGAGCCATAATTTCTGTGTGACACTGTGCCTGAATCTCAAACATCTCTGGTGACTCTTTGTAGCGAAATGTACCTTAGTATTGCCAGTTCTTGCAAGCCTCTGCTCAAATGTGGCTATAAATATGGTAGCAAACAGAAAAGTCAGTAGTATCATGAATTCTCTTCACGCTGCCTTTGACATCACAGTATTTTACTGATGCAGTATTCCCAAGAACCTCAAGAATGGAAAAGTTCAAAATGTCCCATGACTTTACTCTCATTTTACACTTTTACTACCAACACATCAAATGTCCTGATTTCAAAATGAAGACAATTCCATTGCCTCAATTTGTAAAGCAGGCATTACCTGACCAGCACTGTATGTGTTAATTACTAACTCTGGTCATAGTAAAGCACAAAAAGTATGAATTTCAGAAATGCCCAATGGAACCCTGATTGTCCATGCTGTGTGAAAAGCATCACGCAGAAAAAGAGTCTGTTCTGGCAGATTACAAGAAAAGAAAGATATTAGGAAAATGATGTAACAGTACAAGTCAGGGCAAAAAAAATTACTGAAGCCTGAAGGTGCCTTCCATCACAAATTAAATACAGCACAAGGGTCAGTTACAAAAAAAAAAGGAGAGGCGGGGGCATTAGGGAGAAACAGAAGAAAATAAACCCTTATTCATTAGAGAAAGAGGAAAGAAATTATTTGTCTCCAAAGTGTTAAATTGAACTTGCTACAAAATTGATCAGACCTCTCCAGACTCGGAAACATCCCACGGCAGTTATTGATCAAGAGCAGTGAATGTGCTACAGACCATGTTTATGAGACATACCAAAAAAAAAAGAAAAGGGAGGGGAAAAGACTAAAGTGTGTTCAAAGCATATTTACCTTTCAAACACACTCAACTGCTGAGTTAATGATAGCATGAGTTATTGCAGCAATGTGTATGAGGATAGATTATCTTCAGGAAAACATACCTGGCTAGATTGAATGCATCATCGATCAAGCCTGCCCGATTACTGACAGAGATAACCTGTGAGGGGCAAGCACAAAAACGGAACCATTTAGGGTGATGAAGTTCACCTATCGAAGAAGATTTTAAGGATGAGCAGAGGAGCTTACCTCATGGTTCCTTGTTAGCTGATTAATCAGCAGCCTCCAGTTCCTAATATCATAATTAACTCTAAAGTAGCCAGTCTGGTTGATGTTCCCCAGCAACCAACTTGCCTCTTCCAAAGCAGGAATTCTGTGGTGTTCTGGAAAGAAAGAACAAGATGGAAAAGGGACTTGTTTTTAAATTTAAAAATTCTAAAGAAATATTTGTTAAATTCTCTCATGAAGGCAGCAAAATTAGTTTGAAGACTAACAAAAACATCGTGTGTGATTAATAATTTCCTTTATCTGTCCTGATGTAGAGAGATATCAGCTAACATTCCTGTAGGGACCTCTTAGCCACTCAGAAATCCAAGGGTAGTTTTTTTCTGGTAAATAGGATTTGTATGACAGGTACCCATTTCAAGTCTGGTACCCTGATTATGGCCATGCTAAAATAGCTTTCTACAACCCTAACTCAAATAATTCAATGGATGTGCTATTGAGAGAAGACTACACCTGTGATTAAAAAAAAAAAAAAAAAAAAAAATCTTAAGTGTTTTTGCATGTAGTCAATGAAATTTTTATACTGGATTTTAAACTAAAGTATTCTAGTTTTACAGTTTCTAGATAATAACCACTGAGAGGCTCTCCTTCAGAGCTAGACCAATTAACCTTGTATCAACCTGTTCTTCCTCTTTCCCCTCTTTTTAAGGAATCACTTTGGGGATGAAAGTCTAAATTTATTCTGGTATTTGTACAGTCAGCCAGTACACAACTATTTGCAGGACTAGGAATTTCAAAAGCAAAAATGCCACAAATTAAGAACACACACTTCATTCACTATGGAAAAAATCATCACAGAATGAAGCCTCAGGCTTCAATGTCTCTTGAAGAAGCCTTCAATCTAGTAACTATTCTGACACAACCGCACATGATCCAGAACTCACTAAAAATTCAGCAAAAATTTTTCTCTACCATAATAATATTAGATTATACACTGTTGACAAAAGAACAGTCTTCTCCTGCATTTTTAAAAACAAAAAAAAATACATAAAATTTGCTTTCAAAGTAATTCCATCAGGGAATTGTTTGGTGTGCTTGAATTCCCTGAAAGTAACAAATGGGAAAAGTTGTTAACAACGTGGTCTTAACCATTCACATGTAATATTTAGTACCCAGACTTACTAAAGAAATTGATTTGTTTCAGCCTTTCTTATAATAAAGTAATTTCTGAGGAAATAATAGATGGGTAGGACTACAGATAAAAGTCATGGTTCTCCCGTGACTAAATATCTGCAGCAAACACACAAACGACTATCGTTCTAAGGTGTAAAAAATACAGAGAGCAGCAGGACTCCAATCCTAAAACCATCTAATTATAACTTTAAATTCCTGGAGTTGCATTACACACATGAATTCAAATAAAAAGCTGCAAGATTAAAAAAGGAAGTCTTCTTCTCACATAGGTAGTTCTGACATTATTAAAATCACTTTAAAATACACTTTTAAAAAATATTAAGCCCAGAATAACGCAGTTGTTGCCTATTCAATACAATTGTTACTGCTCTTCTAGGGTTTGTCTAACTGACTTGCACTGCTTCAATCTAATTATTCCTATAGGAATAGAATGTACATAGAATTGCAGCATAGAATTTTTTTTTTTAAAAGACCCCTAATTTTAGATAAAATATTGATTAAATCCATTTAAATATCTGTGATAAATCACCAACCAGACCAGACATATTCTTTAGGAGCCAACGTATCCTGCAGAAATAGGACTGAGTGAGAAGATCAGAATTAAGTCCCCACAGCTCTGTGGGCTCTCTGGGCATTCATACTGTTAAAGCATCCAAACTGGTTTTGCCACACAATCTGATTTGAAACACATTTTTTAACACCAGGTGTTCTTCCCTCCACAGGGGTGTCTGTGAAAACACTGGGCTGTATACCTCAGCCCTAAGCAAACTCTCTTAGACTGCAATACTTAAGTTGCTCCTCTGTAAAAATCCTTTTCTCATTGGACCTGAAGTCAGAATCACCCTGTTGCTCCAACTTACTTAGAGAAGACTTGAATCTTGGTTCCCATCTAAACCAGTGAAATTTATAAAAAAAAAAAAAAAAATTACTGCAGAAATACAGTAAAAATTCACAAAAATTTAAAGCACATTGATAAAGGCACTTTCTTAGAACAGATTTTGATAAAACAGGGAAAGAAGGAATTTTAATCTGGATCTACTCCATTCTATTTAGCTTACCCACTGTGGTCGTGTGAATACAGCCTGCCAACCCTAAATCTCAGTATGCTCCTTATCAGCCTATCAGGTTTCTTAAGAGCAACAGCGAAATTACCCACTTCTTTATCTAGGAGAGATTGCTGAGGGGAATGAGGACTTTCAGAAATTCTGTGAGTCTTCATGGGTGAACTGCCACGTGGGGTCAGGAGCAGGCTGTTCATGCCTGGCAGAAAATCCTACCACCTTAATATAGCATTACTTTCTACCCACTTCTTCTGTTGCAAACTAACCTATAAATGCCACCATCCATGAAGGCAACTACTTGTAATTGGTTGATCTCTGGTTAATTTTCTATGATACCTAAAAGCATACCAAATGGCCTATGAGTGCACATTAATCAATATCTGAGTAAATAAATCCATTAAATGGAAATTTTCAAAATCAGTTGTAATAAAAACAAATCTATGTATATTCCTTGTCTGAGTATTTGTATTAAATTTTGACCTCCGTAGCGAGGAAATTACTTGTGCTTCAATTAAATGACATTTGCCAGTCAAATACAACAAGTTCAGAACAACCTATTTCACAAGTAACAACTGTGCAACACCTCCAGCACGTATTGCTTTAATGGAGAACGGTATCTCTCAAAGCTTGATGGCATTATTGCTGTTTTGGTCAGTTTAAATCCAACCGTAACCCCTTGCTATTATTTTTCGATAAGACTACTCATGTGCTGACTTCTCCTAAAATACAGGACAGGAACCTTTCATGCCTTTCCAGCTCATATAAGCAGGTGGTTATTTTAAGGGACTGTCTGATGCGTGTGCTTCACATCATTCTATATAATTTACTGGAATTTGATGTTTGAGTCTGTCAATTCTCATGTCTTCCTATAAAAGAAAATCTTTCTTTTGGTGATTACAGCACTGAAAATTTCTATACGCCTAGGCAATTTCTCCACTTACCACAAACACATTTATTAGTTTCCTCCTAAAAATATTATAGTTAGGGAAAAGGTAGTCATTCAGTGTTAAACCCTATATTAAACCATTCACGACTTTCTAAACAGCAACAAAGATTTCACTTGGGTAGAAATCTATCTTTGATGACTTTAGTTCACCTCTTAAAAATCAATCTAAAATATATACAGTTGTATTTGAGATTAAAGGGAATTTTTTTTTTTCTATTCTTCCATCAGAAAGTGTTTTTGCATGGTCATGTTTTGTCTGGATGCCTCAGAAAATAACACTGCTCTGAAACTGCCGATTTTCAGAGTCTCCATTGCCTCCTAAATGTCTCCACATACATGCAGGAGACATTTAGGAGGCAATGGTTAGATTTTATGACATTTGTTTTGAAGTAAGAAAATCAGTTAGAATCTGATTCCCACTTCATTTGCTCTAGAAGTGTGAGACAGTCCTCCAGCTGGTGCTAACTGCACGTGGCTTGAGATTCTGAGCTCTTCCACCTCTCCAGCAAGTTCATCTCCATCAGAACCAGCAGGAATGATGGAAGCCTGCTCCTCCGCACGGCACCGTGAGCACCTTGTGAGGGCGGCCTGAGTGAAGGGCACGCCTCTGCAGTGCAGTACTCCAGTGATGACAAGAGTGTGGGCTAAACACACTTCTACTACTGTTTCAAGTGTTCAGGCTCACAGTTGTTATTTTAACTCTTCATTTCTTACAACCCCTAGCATATTAGGAAATTGGTTTAAGCTGGTAGAATCCCTACTGGGAGAACTGACTCTGTAGCTATCTCTAGTATGTAACCAGACACGGCCAGGCTGAGCACTGAGCAGGAACCCAAGTACCCTACATTCTGTAGCTCTCACAAGCCTAGACAACTGCCTCCTATCCCTTACCCATGGAAATGCCAACTGGTATCCTACAATACCTTGATGAAGTCACAGATACAGTAACAAGAGGATGCAAAAATCAATAGTCTCCTATCCTTCTGGATGACCATGAAGGAACGGATACTTTCATGAGCAAATAAGCATCCCTGGTAAATTCTAGTGCAAGGCAGGGTGTGTACTCCCCTGTGAAATAATTCAAACTACCAGAAAAAGTAGTATTCCTTGATGGCAATATATGTAGCTATTTCAAAACTGCCATGGTTTCATTTCTCTCAGATAACACACAGACAAGGTAAAAGTGATATGCCAAGATATCATAACGGTGGCCATTAACTTGGCCCCTCTTCATTATTGGTGGCTGAAATGAGGTAAGTAATCAGTAGTAAAATTATAGAAAACAGACAGCTCTTCAACACCTCCTATCCACTCTTCAGGTTATGCTGGAAGCTTCTTTAGCACAGCAGTTTAGTCAACCAGAAGGAAACACCTGCTACTTCCTAAAGAGGGCATGAAAGCCATCCTCATGAACAGCATTTGCTCCAAATTTGATTTGAGTATCTGCATTCAATTACATTCACTTGAAGAACAATTTGCCTACTTCCAATCTTCCAAATATCCTCTAGAGTATTTTGTTTCACCCCCAGCTTGCAGTCGTTCCCAGACTACTTGCTGGGGCAACACTGAAACTGTGTTCTCTGCACAAAACAAAGTCTTCAGGATTCTTCCCATCCACAGTAAATCAATCCTGGAAACCAGCCTTTCTAGTCTCAGAATCCCTTCAACATCCTCATAAAACAAACATACCAGCTGCAGCAAATCTCCAGGAGTATCACAAAATCATCTATAGCAGCCCCAATACATAACAGCATGTACAATGAATGGTATATTGAGTACACTCAGGGATGTTCTTTTTTATGTTGAGGAATTCTCCAGCTGAGTTAGACAACAATAGAAACAAGAGGACATCCTTGCTGTAGTCATAAGTTTACAGCCTCATTTTCAGTGAGGCATAAGTGAATCCGTGAGCGAGCAAATGAGTGAGAAAGTAATGAGGAAGGACAAGGACAATGACAACAGATCACAGAAGCATTGATTCGCTACACAGTAAACTGATGACTCAGAAAGGTTCTTTTCTAATTTCTGTATAGCAGCCACCCCAAAATCATTGCTCATGCTGGCCATCATTAATTTGTTGATTTCTTGAAGGCATTCTGATAGGAGCAGTAGATCTTAAAAGTGTGGGTAGTGGTTTTATGGACTTGTTCCTCCACAGCACTCTGTAAGTAAAAGGCAATGAGGAAGCAACTGTGCAGATAATAGTGATATACTGAACTTTCAAGGCAGGAGTGAAGGGAAGGAGGCATGCATGTACAACCTAATGAGATGAGATGAGATGAGATGATCAACTCTCTCTGAAGTCAGTGGGAATCTTTCTATTAACTTCAATGAGAGTTCAATCAAGCCCTAAAGGACAAAAGCAGAGCAAGTCATTAAGGCAGATTGTGAAAGTGAGAACAGGTTTTGAAGTATTCTGGAGATGTTAATATTAAAAAGTATGTCCAACGTGGTATATTTCTGCAAAGTGAGGCAATGTCTGTGTGCTCTGACTAGAATATGTTCCTCAGGTAGGGAAAATGCCTTGGTCCCAGGGACATTTCTAGGTCATTATTTCATGGGAGAAGCATAAAACTTTATGTTCTGATAGGCTGAAAATGATCAGGGCAAAGAAACATACACCTTATACCACTACAAAGTTGGCATACTCAGATTTCCAGTGATTGTGCACCATTCATTTCTAGTCCTTCTGGCTGCTAAGCTCTACATTACTATTGTGTTTTAGTGACTTATGAAAGAGAAAAAAAGGAAAAAACACAGGCTTGCATAGGTTTGATTCTTCCCTCTCTCCAGTTAAATTTATATCAGAGGGAAATCTCTATACCCTTCTAATTTTACAAGAAGGATGCAGTTCTCCTTCTACAGCCCATCTGTCGAAGGGGATGCATGGATCCTTCTTTTCCCTTCCATATAATCATTCTATTCAAGCCTCCACATTTCTTCCCTCACTCTCTTCAATTCCATTTCAAAACTCTCAGCTGATGTGGCATGAACTGCTACGGATATAGAGAAATATTTCATTAAATGTCTATGGTAATATTCTTTTATTAGGTGACAAAAACCCACTGGTATCTATCCCTAGCTGTCCTCAGCAATAATTGTTATGATCATGTAGGAACTAAGGAAGGATAAAATAAGTAGTAAGCAGAATAATGCATTCTTGAGGTCAAACATCTGGTTATCTAATAGAGAGAAGAAATAGATAGATCAATAAGGAAATTTTTTAATGACAGCAAACATTTCTTAGTCCTGCTTCAGACTATGGATCAGAGTTAAAAATGCCAGAATTCTAAATAAGTTGCATTTACTAAGTCATACTCATCAGATGTTTTGCTATAAAAATATTACATTTAACTTTCACCAATCAATAAAGTGAATTGCATTCATCAATGACTTGATATGTGTTGCTAAATATAAAATACTTAGGACCAAGTTACACATTTCCATGTACAAGCTTTCCATTATCCTGTCTTAACTTCTGTGATAATTATAAATCTTGCTTGCTGCTCATCCTTCATTCCTCCTCCCTCCCTTCCCAACTCTCCCTTTTTTGTAATTCATTGCATGTAGCTAAAACTGGGTGCAGAGCAACTAAATAATTATCTAGGATCAATTCCAAAGAAACAGTTGAGGAAAACACAAGTATGCTTTATGAGATTCCACTGGGAGGAAAGTTTATTTTTACCTGATTTGTTAGACACCCATATAATTGCCTCTGATGAGATGTGGCTCGTATTTCCTACTGCAATTGTTAATGGAATCTGCCACAAGTAGCTGCAAGACAAAGGAGGGGGAATCTAAGAACAGAAATACTGAACTGATTCTTCTCACAGCAATCAGGGATTATGTCAAAGAAATCAAAACACAATTTCAGTAGCAGTGTAAAGATGTGTATTCTAACAAGTTACTTTGATTTTGAAATGCATTTGCTATTAGCAATAAAACAATGAAAAAATCATTCATCTTCAAAAAATCCCTGAATTATATTTTACATTTTTCATACGCTATCATCATATGAGGATTTTTTTGCAAGGTTTTCCTAATTTAACGAAATTATTCACAGAAGAGGGAATAATGATCTCCCATAGAAAGAACACTTTTTAACATTTACTTAGAAAAAGAGAACCTCCAGGTAAAAACATGCTTTGATTTATACAGATTCCAAAGTTTAGAAATAATATACTCTTCTAGTAACTTCCTAAAAAGCTCTGATGGGCTTTCATAGCAGCTGGCTTATAAAAACAAAATGAATGGATCTCCAATTCTTTGCACGATTTATTATCATCTACATGTATGCAAACTGGACAAAACATGCCATATGTGGATTTGGAGATAAGCTGCTGTAATCAGGCCCCAACTTCCTGACAGGGTATCACAGATTGTTTCTCATTGGGAATAAATGTTATCATTTACCTAAAACTTTTCTAGAACATCTTTAACTCAATAAAGAGAAATTGAGATAGTTTGAAAACTGTACAGCTGAAACAGCTATGAGTGACATCAGAAAGAAAACATGGCCTTTATTGCCATATGGAAGAAGAAAAAAAGTCTCATGAATGTTGGTATCATGATACATTTGGAAAATTATCAGATCTACTCATGCATCAAAGACATGCACCACATGAGTACATGCTCTGGTAGACACTTTTTGGATAATTAAGCTGTCGCATTTGAAGATGCTACTGCCTTTATCAGTCTGCCCACTCCTTGTGCTGAGGTTACCACCCTCCACAGCACAGCCAGTAGAAAATTATGTCCACTGGTGCATTAGCTTCTCAGTTGTCAGCCTGAGGTCTTCACACAGTTACCTTTACTCTTGGCTTAACTAGTATTCTGGAGTGTGAGGTGGACCAATGAGGTGGAAACAATTATTGCATCTTGCTGCTTCTGCTACAGTGGCAGTAACTTCTGGATTCAACAGGGCAGGGCAGTCAGGTAATGCTGCAAAGTGATGCACCAGAGAACATTCACTACTCTCTCAAATACCTCCATCTTACTAGGCACCCATCACCCATCAGTGTTTTAGAGTGTGTCTAAAAAACCTTCTAAGAAATGTATTATCTTTAAAAACACACACAGCTCTATGCACTCAGCTATCCAGAATGAAAAAAGATGCTGGCAAACTGTGATCAAGAAAAATGAGGCATAATTGGGCATAAAGCTTGCATATTATTTGAAAGAACAGGAACTTTGGTACATGAAAAAAAATTAAAGAAATGCATTTGCATGGTATTTTTATAACTCTTGAGATCAACTCCTACAGAAAAAGCTGAACTGCAAAATAAAAGATGCTGAGAGCTGCCTACATAGCTGATTTAAACACATATATACACATACACAAATATTCGTGTATGAACATGTACATGAGCATCTGCTATTTTTAGAAGGAACTTCATAGATATTCTGTGCATTGCAGTATCTATACAGAGAGGACTTTTATATTATGTTATATTATTATTCTACATTACCTCCAATTAAGGTAAATCTCACTGAAACAAGGACAGAATCTTCTCCGAAAGGTGATCTAGCCAGCTACCCATCCTCAGAAAACATGTATGGATTTAGTTGGGAAGATGAGTACTGGTAGATTTTTTTATCTCACCAAGATGAGAGAACTTCTGATGTTCTTGGCATTCTCCAGAACCTCTAAATCTCATCTTCTTGGCTGTTGATTTACCAGATGAACCACAGATTTCCTTTTAATAGAGATCTCCAGAAAACCATTTTTCCTACTTTACTACTCCTGTTCTCTATATGCTTATCAGCTTTCTCCTTCCAGTCCTCTTCATTCTTGGTGAAATCTATGCTGCTGTTCCAGAAGCAGCTGTGGGTAAGTTTTTTAGATGTACATGAGGGAGAAGTATCTGGCTTACCTTTCAAAAATTTTCATTAGAATGACTTCTACTCACCATCTTTGCATGACCTGTAGGGACTCTGTTCTCCAGGTTTGACTAGGAAGAACTAAACTTTTTTTGCACTTTCCTATCGCACTCTTCTGCTTTACAGAGGGGGAAAAAAGGAAAAAAGGGGCCCACTTGCTTGTTCTCCTCCTGCTCTGTCTGGGAGTAGTGCAGAGCTTTTAACTGTTCTTTATACTTTGGGACCACCACCATGCTCTCTGTATGTATTTGACCAGGGAAAAAAAGTCATCCTCTTCCACCTGTCCACCTGCTGCCTGGTGTGGCACACCAGACCCAGTGAAAATAAGAATCTAGACTTGAGGGCCAGTGACTGGAAACAACACATTTGGTCCTCCTTACCCTGAAGAATATGTCTGCAGGAATTGTATGCCTGTTCAGGTAGCATACTCAGCCCCTGAGTGAAATGGAGCTAATGAACTGTGTGTCCAATCTACCTGAGACGCTGTTGAGCTGTTGAGGAATCCACACACAGTGTCCATCTGGATACAAACCAGATCACCTTAGCAGAGAGCTAAAGGTTTCCCCACTGAATTGTGGGGAAAATAAGGGCTATTCCAGGTTTATATTTCTTAAATGAGGTCCTCGCTCTTATCCCAGTAGAGATTATTTTCTTTCAGAGTCTTTAATGAGGAAACTGGACCTCCAAAAATACATACAGAACACATTAAAATGACAAGAGGCTACACCTAGATATAGAATATACATCTAGATATAGAAGATGTCTATTAATAGTCTTTGATCATATACATAGCTAGGAAATCAAAGGAGGAGAACCACGACAAGGTAGAAGACCAGAACAATGTACAGACTATAGAAAAAAATTACTCTTTTAGCCCTCCTAACAACAGAAGAATAAGTGACAAAATTAAAATGCTATGCACAAAAGCAAATTAAGTGATCTGCCTCTTAGCAGGGTATAATAGGCATAATTATTTTCAAGTGTAGTGGCAATCACAGAATGATTTAGGTGGGAAGAGACCTTAGGAGATATGTCCCTCTGCTCAAATGTGCTAACAGCACAAGAAACCAATTTCATTGTAGGCAGAACATGAGATCAGAGGAGGATACACAGGCTGCACGTTCAGCGACATCACACAAAGTCAATCAAGTCAAATATGGCAAATGATTTGCCATCTGCTTTTATTTCCTAATCCCTGCAACTACAAAGCATCCACAAAACTACTTTCAGAAAAGCTGAACACCAGAATCTGTATGTACCTTCAAACAGCTTACTGGGCTGAGAAATGAAATTGTGAGTTGTCTAAATTATTCCAGACTGGAAAACCAGGAATAACTTAAACCATCACCTGGCACTGGTGCAATCTCAACCATCACTCTTCTGTGACTCAGTTTCTCTATATTATGCAAGGTTGTGTCAAATGAGCTGCCATGAGGTACTTCAGACATCTGCCATGGGCTGTAAGATATGGCAGAGCACCTAGAGATGGCTCCCATGGGTGTAGTGGCAGCACAAGGTCAAGTAAGATCCCTGAGGGCACTTCCAATGGCACCAGTCACCAGTGCAAGCAACTAAATGGGACTCTCAAACCTGATGCTGACAATGATACCTACCACAACTAAATGAGTTTTCCAAAGAAACTTTTTCATTTCTAACTGAAAACAGCAAATTTTCACAACTAAGCTGCTTCTAAGAAACAAATGGCTTCAGCACAGATTTTCAACTATGATGTTTAAAACAGTCCTAACCTTTTATAACTACTGTTTTAAATAAAGATTCCAGTTTGCTGATTCAAAATGAATTTCAGCTGTAAATACAAGTTAATTGAAGGGAGGTGTTAAAATGAGTGAAACTGAAATGTAAAGTACTGAAATTACAGAATTGAAATTAATTTTCTAAACCAAGTTTTCCCCAGTTTTTGCATTGATTTTTATCCTGATTCAATACAAGGAAATGTTTTGATATGTTGAAAATTTATGTGGGATGGCAATCCATTTCTTGCTCATCTGTAACACTTACTAATCTTTGTAAAGTATTTTGAGAGCATAACAATCTCAAAGGATACCACTGAAGGGTATGATTAAAGCTATTTAACACAGCAATAAAGTAAGGAATGAAAATGATTTAAGAGTTAAAAGGATATGAAGAAAATCCAAGACTAAAACTGACGAGTTAAAACACCTGCCTCCTTATTTTAACCACCAGAACTTAACATCCAAAATTCCAACTCAGTCTCTTCAGTTAAATATAAAAGTGTGGTACATCCAGAGTGGCTGAATCTGAGAAACGGGGAGCAAGGACTCCTTGCTGTTAGTTGACCATTCTCAGCTCTCCATATGAAGATTGTTGACATTTCAAGCACACAGAGACATATGCTTGGATGAGCAGCACTGAGTCTGAGGAGGAGACACCTTCCCAGTGTGGCCCTTGCCAACAGTGATGATTCCTTGATTAGGTTAGGATGCTGACAGGGGCATTTCTTACCCAGGGAATACCTTGCTATCAGCCATCCTCATGGCCTCATGTTGTGATTTCAGAGACAAAAGAAGACAAAAGCAAAGTAATGAGAAAATGGGACCTTCTGGAAAGCAAGCAAGTCTTACAGAACAAAATGAAAAATAATAATTAAAGATTTGTATTTTTACTTCAGTTGCATGCTTGGCTTATTTGCAGACACATATACAAATACTGGCCAGTAAGAGAAGCATTTAGCTGCACGGATGCAAAAGTTTCTGGCTAATATCCTTAAAGCCTGTTATAAAATAAGAGGCACAGGAAGTTGGTAACGTGAACTAACTAAAGGATAGTGTGAAGTTTGGACATATCAGTACAGCAGGAAGAGAGCAGAGATCTCTTCTTGCCTTTGCTTGCCAAAACAATTGCAATTTCTGATA